GGCCTCCCATCTCAAAGTTAAACCAAAGTCCTATAGGGTGAGACTGTCAGGATTCAAATCTCAGCATCACTACTAATCTGTACAACCTCACGCAGGTTGCCTAATCTTTTTACATCTCGGTTTCCACATCTATAAAATGTGTCTACCTCATGAGGATGTAATGAGGATTTATATACATTAACTCACTTAAGTACTTGGAACTAACACCTAGTAGAGCTCAACCAGTGTTAACTGGCTATGACCCCCAAGACTATGAAACATAAACCTGACTTGGTTTTACCTGGTGAAGCCTTTTACTCGGGGGGGGGGAAAGATCTCTGTATGCGGTATCAAATATCCTCCTTGTAAATGGGCACATGTGACCTCCAAAAGGGGCGAGATCCTCTCTGACTGTACTCCCTGTCTCTATTAACCTCATGCAGACTCATTACTTGCTGTTCTTTGTATTTTTTCTTCTCCATCTCTTTTGTTCTTGCTTTGTTTGCCCACCCAGACTGTCCTTTCCAGCTCTACCTGAGATAAAGCCTTCATCAACCCCTCATTTAGAAGTAACCTTTCCTTCTTCTATATTCCATAGCAGCCTGGACTTTTCTTATACTAATTTATAAACTGCCTACTCTACATGGAGCAAAAGGTTCTGCTTTTTTCTTTTTCTTAAAACTTTGCATTCCTTATGATACCAAGTACTGTAAATACCATCTGAGTGGCATAAGAGAACGAAATGATCAGCCTCATTCAAAAAGATAGAGCGAATCAGAACTGTCCTTACATTTTAGAAAAGTAGTTCAAGACAGAGAGAATATGGACAGGAAAAAAGTCTAAGAAATATTCATTAGATTATCTGGGAGGAATAGCTATTATATGTGAACACTCCAAAGCAGAAATGCCTTCATGATGTCATGTAATCCTCCCTCTACAAATAAACTAAAAGCTAGGGTGGAGAATCCTACAGGAGATCTACCTAGGGAACCAGCTGGCTTATCTCACCCAAGTCTATAATAAAGGGTCTGTGGGGAAAACTCTTCTGTCTGACATTCCCCACGTCTGTAATAAGAGCCTAGCTTCAGCCTGAAAGGATGAAATACCACATCTCTAGAGGGGATCACTTTGGAAAAATATAAAACCCCAGTAAGGCTGTATTCTCTCTGGGACAGTGCATTATATCTCAAACATAAAGAGGAACTGAAAAGATTTCAAAGACCCTAGTTAAAAACAAATTAACTTCTCAATCCTAGTAGAGACTATGCCTCACTGGGATTTTCCAGGAAAGATTAAATTAGACTGGAGTTGGTTTTTTTTGTTTTAAATAGGGAGCTAACAATTAGTATTGAAGATACACCTGGTAATGACAGAGACCAGCCTTGTACAGAAAAAGAAGGATCTCCTCAAGCTTAAATTCATTCAGAAAAGGTACTGCTAATTGCTTATAAAGTCACGCATAAACCGAATTCACACATCCCAAGCGACCCCTTTCTAACAGCTATCAACCATGGAATTTCTCAGATACAGCCCCCAAACTCTTTGAAACTTCTCTTGTCAAGAAGTGGGGTCGATGTCCCTTCCCTGGGATCTGGACTCTGTCACTTGCTAAACAACGGAATATGGCAGAAGTGACACTATGTCAGTTCCTAAGCCCAGGCCTTAAGAAACTGGCAGCTTCCACTTCTTATCTCTTGGGATGCTTGTTCTTAGAACCCAGCCACCATGCTGTGAGGAAGCCCACGCAGCCCGTGGAGAGGCACCAAGAGCCAGAACTAATGTGCCAGTCATGTGAGTGAGCCCTCTTGAAAGCAGATCCACCATCCCCAGTCAAACTAACACCACATAAGCAGAGACGAGACGTCCTGACAAGCTCTACCAAAATTGCAGTTTCCTGAGCAAAATGAATGACTACTGTTGTTTTAAGCCTTTAAGTTTTGGGGTGGTTTGTTACATTGCAATATATAACCAGAACTTTAATTTTTTATGTTCTTTGAAGGAAAAAGTTAATAATAAAAAATAGCTGGCTTACTGCCCCTTGATTTATCACTTTTGTTGCTTGTAAGAGGCAGGGTAGCACAGTGTTAAAAGCACAGACTTTGGGGCTAGACAGCCAGGATTTGAATATCAACAAGTCACTTAGTCTCCCTGTGCTTTTGTTTCTTCATCTACAAAAGGCAGACAATAAGCTCCTAGGCTATTAGGATTAAGGAAGGCTGTTAGAAAGGAAGCTGTTCTAAAGAAAGGAGGTGCTAGAGAAGAGAAAGTTAAAATATGGTTAAAACATTAGTAAGATCAGGAAATCTTAGAGGCAAGGAAAGGGAAAGCAGGAATGTCAGACAAGAAGTCAGGGAGAGGCCTGGAAGGAGGGGACCGCCAGCAGACCTGGGCACCAAAAGAGACTGGGCTCTAGAGACAACTGAGAGCCAGCCAGTGACAGGTTTGTTTGGCTTCAGCAGTAATAAGCATTCCAGAAACTTCAGCAGGGACAGATGGGACTGAGCAACAGGGCAGTGCCTACAGGAGTACAGTCTCCCTTCTAACTACGAGGCCCTCAAATACCCTCAAAAAACTGAATAGGGTTTACCTTTACTCAAGTAGGCCCATCTGCCCCTCCCTCATGCATGGGGATACCCATCCCCCCCACATCTTCTGACTTAACTGCTAATGCTTGAAATTCCTTTAAACAAGGAGAGAAAACATTTTCATTTCATATTCAAAGGAAAAACGACAAAAATGCAAAGGTTTGGCCAAGATAATATTGATTTTAACTAAGTTTCAGTTAATCACCCTGCCAAGTGGGGCCCATTTAGGCATCTGTGGAGGAGGAGGGAGGAACTAATGGTTTATTGAGGCCTACTAAGTGTCAGACCACAGTCCACAGATAGCAAGTGCATTTAAATCAATTTGTGTAATTTCCAATGCCTTAATCAATAAATATTTATTGAATGACTTAAGAAACAAACCTAAGTATGCCATCTATCAGACCTTCCCTGCATCATAGAGGCAGAACTTAAAAGCAGAAGAGCATCAGGTCACCATCACCACCCAGGGGATAAAGGTCATAGAAGAGAGAAAAGGAAGAGCTAAGGATATAGTAGCAGAGAAACTGCAGATTTCAACACTAACTGGAATCACGTTTACTCTCCCACGAAAATGACAAACGAGAAACAATACAGATCAGTGGTTAAGATCACAGACTCTGGAGCCAGACTGCCTTGATTTAAATCCTAGCTTAGACATTTACTACTTATACGACGCCAGGTAAGTGACTTAACTTCTCTGTGTCTCAGCCCCATCATCCCTAAAATGAGTAACTACACCTATTTCATTGGGTTATTGTGAGAATCAAATGAGTTAATACAAGTATAGTGCTTAGAACAGTACCTGGCACACAGTAAGTACTATTTATTTTTTATTTATTTATTTTTTTCCCCCAAAGCCCCAGTAGATAATTGTATGTCATAGTTGCACAGCCTTCTAGTTGCTGTATGTGGGACGTGGCCTCAGCATGGCCGGAGAAGCGGTGCGTCGGTGCGCGCCCGGGATCCGAACCCGGGCCGCCAGCAGCGGAGTGCGCGCACTTAACCGCTAAGCCACAGGGCCGGCCCAGTAAGTACTATTTAAATATTAACTGCAATTAGTATTACTATGACTATTATTCTTATTATGGTCTGAGATATCTGGCCTGAATCTATGAACTCAGAAAGCCCTATCATTACACAGAAGTACCCTGTTCTCAGGAGATTCACTAATGAAAGTATTTCTGAAAACAAGGGACGTAAACAGAGAAGGGGTATGTTAATATAGGAAATTCATGATACTGGGGGAATAAATAAGTAGACTTTGGGTATTAGACTCCTTATTTCTCTCTCTGTTGGTATTTTTCTGATTATTGAGTCATTCTTTCTTTGTAACGTAAGGGGTGAGAGGAGGTGTCAAAAATGAGCCAAAGCTTAAACTAGTGCATTCTGATAACTGCTGATAGTTCAAATGTCTTCGTGGTGGAGAACATGGCAACATTAGCTTAGATAAAACTTTCAGATACCTTCCATGCCCTATATGACAAGGGACTGAGAACAAAAGGGACTTGGAACAAGCACGCACGATAAAATCTCATGATCTCAAGACATGAAACTTAGAGAAGAATTTGCTACATCGAGTTGAGTCTGGTGAACATCAGGCAAGCTTTCCTTTTCTAAATCAAAACTGGGCTTTGGTTTCTAAGAAGAGCTATTTAGAAATATGACCATAGGGCCGGCCCCGTGGCTTGGCTGTTAAGTGCGCGCACCGTGCTGCCGGCGGCCCGGGTTCGGATCCCGGGTGCACAGCGACGCACCGCTCCTCTGGCCATGCTGGGGCCGCGTCCCACATACGGCAACTAGAAGGATGTGCAGCTATGACAGACAACTATCTGCTGGGGCTTTGGGGGAAAAATAAATAAATAAAAAATCTTTAAAAAAAAAAAAAGAAATATGACCATAGAGAACGCTTCTCAGATAACACAAGAAAAAGAAAATTTTTCTAATAGAAGAAGAAATGGATAAGGAAAGAGAAAATTAATTGGTGGTAGAAGAGCTTGCTTTCAGTTTTACTTGACAGAGAATTACATATATAGCATGTTTACACTGATAGGTCATCCCTCACAGAGATCTGCTCTTATTGATTCACAAAGGAAAAATATTATTGGCCTTATAATTTTTAAGATTGCCCTTTGAGAGGTTTTCTACTTACTTCTACTCACCAAGAAGACAAGAGACCTAAACATAATGAGTATGTACTATGTATGAGGCGTAAGTGAAGCATTTTATATACATTATCTCAGTTAATCTTCATAATAACTCTATGACTACATATAAGAAAACTGAAGCAAAGAGAAATAAGGAAATCTCCCCAAAGTTACACTGCCTATAAATGATCAAATAAACTCAGACTGTTCTGAATCCAAAGTTCATGTATGCTCTATGCACTTCACTAGACTGCCTAAGGCATGACAGACAGATATTTTAATATCTACTTGCCTGAATGTTAACGTCTGCCCACAGAAATAAGTTGGAGCGCTGGAGTAGAGAACACCTGAGGATTCAGAATCATTCCGGAGTGCTATATTTCTTCGACTGCTCAAACTGTACCCCTCAAAGCCAGCTGTCCACTCTTTTAAAAAACAAAGATATTGAAAATTATTAGAATCTTTTGGGGCATATCTTCAATACGGACACATAAAATAAAACTCAGAAGCAGAAGAGGCTATTCTTAGGGGTCATAGGCAAGTTCAATAAAAGAAAAGATTTACTAACAGGGTAACACGGTTAATACTGTAAACCACAAAAAAGATTTTAGTCTACTCTTGCACAGTTGGCATGGACGATCACATAACTGTTATCTCCTATCTAATAAAATCACAGTTGAAGCATAATTGTTTGAGCTTATTCCAACCTGATTAAGAACTAACGAGTCTAAATTTTTTTAAATAGTAATACAGGAGAGATCAATTTCAAATCATAAGACTTTTAAGAAAAAGCCTCTACCCAGATATTTATTGAAGGCTTGGAAAATCAGCGTCCTAAGGCAGTATTTAAAATCTTTGGTTTTGGGGGATGTTAATAATCCTGTACGGCACTGTTTTTAAACTCTGGAGATAAGAACTGATGAAAATTTCTCAAAATTCACAAGAAGTAATTTGAGTAGGAAGTAAGACATGTTGCATGTTGTTCTCATCAATTCAGGGTTTATTCTTAGAAAAAAAGGTTGTTACTGCACTGCCTTTAGCACAGAATACAAGTGTTCTTATACATTGTTAAGCTTCAGGACTGAGAACGCAACAGCATACCATGAGGCACCAATGTGGAATGACCTATCTGGGGGACGCTCCAAGGACTCCACTCCTGTCGGCCATCTCCTCGGGCGCAGACTCTGAACTGATAATCAACATTGGGGTCTATGTGCAATACTATGAATTCAGTTTCAGAGCCTACATACACGTCCTCAAAATGATTTGAAGTACATTTACGGAACTGGAGCCTGTAATCTTGGGCTGTGAAGTCGTCATCCACCTAAGGAGAAAGGCTTTATGTTAGGTAAACATCAGAGAATAAATTCTCTCAGCATCACTGCTTAAGAACTTTGCATGGGGGCACTATGGGCCAAGCATGCAAGCCCACGTGCTGAACACAGGCTATTCTCACAAAGGCCACAGGAACTATGCCATCGTTTTTTCTCTTCTCTTCCTTAATTAAACCATGTGTTTTGTACTTCCCAGTTCGATATGAAAAAAATCTGCTTTTGAAGACATGGCATGTTTTCTACACAATAATGCCAGAGATAAAACATTCAAAATTCAAGTTATAAGAATTCCACAACTACATCATTCATGTGACCAAGAGAGAATTAATATTCAGAATATATAAAGGACTCCTAAAAATTAATAGAAGACAAGCCACTCAATAGAAAAACAGACAAAAGACAAGAATAAGCATTCTACAGAATAAGAAATATAAACAGCCAAAAATATGGAACCAAATCTGTAATATGGAAAATGCAATCTAAAACCACAATGAGATGCCATACTGGCAAAAACATAAAGTCTGACAATGCCAAGTATTGGTCAGGATGCAGACTAACAGGAACTCATACACTGCCGGTGGAAGGATACACTGATACGATCTCTTTGGAAAGAATTTGGTATTACCTAGTCGAGTATTACAAATTCTCTAAGAACTCATAATTTTATGGCTACGTATATACTTTAGAAAAAAATCTTACATGTGTACACAAGGAAAAACGAATAATAATGCTTATAGCAAAAAAAACGGAAACAACTGTAGGTCCACAGAAAGGCAAAAGAATAAAAATGGAATAAGAGTCCTTGTTTTGAACCAACAAAAGCATCCCTACTTCTTTCTTTTATACCAAGGCTTCATTTAAACAAATTCCATTTAGGGGCCGGCCCCGTGGCGTAGCAGTTAAGTGTTCGCGCTCCGCTGCTGGTGGCCCGGGGTTTGGACCCGGAAGTGCACTGATGCACCACTTGTCAAGCCACGCTGTGGCGGCATCCCACATAAAGTGGAGGAAGATGGACACGGATGTTAGCCCAGGACCAGTCTTCCTCAGCAAAAAGAGGAGGATTGGCATGGATGTTAGTTCAGGGCTGAGCTTCCTCACAAAAAAAAAAAAAAATTCCATTTAAGAACACAGTTTCCAGAAGCTGAGCACCCACTCCTGAATGATGTATTTGTCAGCAGCCAAAACATTATGACTCATTTGGACGTAGTTTCTATGTATAATATGGTAACTCATATAATATGATTTAAGACATAATATTCTCAGCAACTCTGAGAGTGTGAGGAATTTTATTTCAGAAGAATTTTATTTCACATTTTTAACGTACAAGGTTGAAGAGAAAATATCCGACACCCAATATTCACTATCGACTTTTGACTTTTCTAATAAACAGAAATGGGAGAGATCCTCAATTCAGTAAGAGTTAAGTTTGGGAAATATGTGATAGAAAATAACGTTGTGGGGGCCGGCCCAGTGGCACAGTGATTACGTGGGCGCGCTCCACTTTGGCAGTCCGGGGTTCAAAGGTCCGGATCCCGGGCGTGCACCGATGCACCGCTTGTCAAGCCATGCTGTGGTGGTGTTCCATATAAAGTAGAGGAAGATGGGCACAGATGTTAGCCCAGGGCCAGTCTTCCTCAGCAAAAAGAGGAGGATTGGCATCAGATGTTGGCTCAGGGCTAATCTTTCTCACCCAAAAATAGAAAAGTATAATCCCACTATAAAAATAAATGTGTGTCAATGGACCAAATTTATTAAAAAAAAAAAAACAAAAAAAAAAACGTTGTGATACAGCAATTTTAAAAAGAAACTTCAAAACCATTTATCTCAAACAGGAGGAGCTACTTCAGTTCAAGTTCCCCTTGACTTTAACTGTAAAGCAAAGGGATATTTGTTTATGAAGAGAAAAAAATATTCAAAGGTAGTTAATAAAAAAGTTTAAAGGCCCCCAAATCTCAAATCCATAATATTGAAGCCATTTCTACAATTCTAAGTTACGTACCTTACACCATCGTACGATGATGCCTCCAGGTTTCTCTATGAGTTCTTCTATCTGTACTGGTGGGCGAGATGCTACCGTTCCATGCTTGAAAATGTGGTCTTTCACTATGTTAAGAACTGAGTCATCCAACTGAGCAGATAAACAAGGCACATCAACCAGTAAAGGCACTTCTGGTAAACTGAGGAAACAAAGCTCATGTGTTTACCAGGCTTTTAACTGAGAGTTAAAAATACAAGGAATATTTTACATCAGTCACATACTATAACGATGCTGAAGCCCCCATTAAATAATGCTAATGGCAGTGGAGGCTTTGCAAGATGTTACACAAAGATTCCCTTCTCAAATAAATTCAAGCAAGAAGACAGAAAATCGGTAGGATCACAATTGTCAAGTTTATAGCAAAAGATCCAGTTTACTGAGATATGACTCAGTTTTGATGATATGTTCATAATTTAAAAAATTTAACAATTCTCTTGCATATTAGAATTGAAGATAATCTGTAGCAATATTATACCAAAGATTACAATCACAACTGTTTTCATACTAGTAATAGTGGTAATGGGCAATGAACTTTGAAAAATATATTTTCTATCTTTCTTAATCAGAATCTTTAATTGGGGGAAAAAAGTAGACAGTTTAAATGCTTAAAACTAAGCCCAAAAGGCTCTTTTACCTGTCCAACTGAATGTGTAAGGCCTTTTTGGTAAAGCTCCACAGGCTTTCGTTCTGTTCTCCTACACCACCAAGAATGGCGATCTCACCTACAATCAGGAATGAGAGAACTATTACAGTGAAAAATGGTCACATTATCAAGTAATCAACACAACTCATGCCTAGGTCGGTCTCTGGTTTTCTAGCAAACAATTCTTAAATGATGTCACAGTCAAATTCCCAAAAAGTAAAAGCAGAAACTATTTTAGAAGTGACTCTTAGGTTAAGCTCAAGAGGAAAAGGGGTACACAATGGCAACACTTTGCCAGAGATGAAAGATTCTGCTCTCTACAAGGAAATCTGCTTTGTCAACCAATTTTACACAAAGCAGAAGGCCCAGGGACTTTTTTCCATCTCTCCTACAGAATCTTTATCAACTCCAAGAGGAGCCAGTACAAATACTACCCTGGCAGGAGCAATAGAGCACAGGGTCTTATAAAGCCAAATGATACAGTTACGTTTTCCTAAAAGAATATCATACATTAGATTAGAAATTACTCAACAGAACAATAAAAAGGAAATGCTATAAAAAGGCATAAAAAAGGACCAACTTCCACCTCCTTCCACAGCCCTGAAGAACACTTCCAGAACTCTTTTCCATCTGCATGTGCCCCAGAGTGACTCAAGTTTTTTGAGACCATATGACAGGACCTTCTCCCTCACCAAAAGGAAAACAGAGACATTGAACACTGCCTCAAAGTCCTCAAAATTCCATAAAAAAGTTTTTATCCCTTGGAGGGGAGGGGAACCAAGAGTACAAAATTTAAAATATTTCTGAAGTACAAAAAAATTCAAGCATCATATGCTGTAACTAACATGTATGTGCCTCAAAGGATTTCTTTTCTAAAATAACAACATTTCTCAGTCCTCAGGGTGATGGGAGCACACTCCTGACCTGCACTGAACTGCTTCTTAGTTTGTTTCCAAATACAAAGCCTCCAGGGAAAGACACGCTGTGGTCCTGCTAAAAAGAATTTTCTCAAAGGCACTGTTATGGTCAGTGGCAAATAAACACTTCTCACTGAAGATAAGACAAAAATGTTATTAGCATGTAAAGATAACACTAGTACCACATTCTAAGTGGGACTAAAAAGGAGATTAATTTCCATTTGGAGTGACAGACCTGTGAGCCATGCACACTTTTCATCCTATGCCACTCACAGCACTCAATGAAGAATGGATGGTATTCAACCTCCTTCTCTGGCTCCTTTTTCCTCAACCACCCTTTAAATGTTGGCATCCCTCCGAGTTCTACCCTCTGCCACCTTCTCTTCTCATATTGCACAGTATCTCTTGATGACTTGACCTATTCCCATGGATTCACAGTTGACATATACACCATTAATTGCCATATTGACATCTCCAGGTCTGATCTCTCTCCTAAGCATCACACTCACATTTCCAACTACCTTCTGGCATCTTAAACACCTCAAACGCAACATGCCCCAAACCAAATGCCTAACTACCCACTAAAGCCCACCCTTCTCCTTTGTTTCCTACGTCAGTAAACGGCATAATTCACCAGGTCATCCAAAATCAGGCTGGTTTTGGTCATCCTAAACCTTTCCCTTTCTCCTCCAACCTATATCCAGGCAATCACCAATAATCAACACTTATGGATCAGGAAAATCATCAATAATTCTATCTCCAAAAAATCTTAAACCAGCTCAGCCTCACCTTCACCTGTCACTGCCTTCATCATATCCCATCTGGATTACTGCCACAACTTTCTAATCAGTCTCTTTTACCTCCAGTCTTACCACCTCTAATACTGTCTCCAAACTGTAGGCAGTCTCGTTTTTTAAAAATGCAAATCTGATTGTGTAACTCTGCTGCCTAAAATACTTCAACAGATCCCTGATATGCCATTCACTTCACTCGTGATGTTACTTCTGCTTCCAATCATGCTGTTATCTCCTTTTCTTCCTTTGCCTGCTTGATGAATTTCTTCAAGCCTCTGTGGAACTCCTCCCACAGAAAGCTGCCCTACTCTCTTCCAGATACAGTTAAGCACTTCCCCTTCTGAGCTCCCATAGGTCTAGATCTCTCTCAGCACTCGTGCCTCTCTCCATGGGCTGTGAACTCCAAAGAGCAGAACTCTTACCTTTTTATTTAATGTACCTGACAAAGACCTACGTGTAGGAAGGAAGGCAGACACGAGGGTAGGAAGGTAACAAGGCAGGATCTGGGCATGCTTTAACCAAAACAATTGGCTACAGATAAGAATAAACACTACAATGTCAGGAGTAAATACCAAATTTCTTAACCTTCTAAAAAGAATAATGGAGTTAAATTCTAAACAACGAACACACTGAAAAATATTTGAACAGACTCAAAATGACCTTAAAATAGCCGTGTTAAAAGTGAATGAGATGCTATCGTAGAACCATTTGAGAAAAATCATTTACTCCTTCCTGTTTTGTAAATGATTATAATTAACACTTGAATTGCACTTACCTTGGGACCCTTCACTGTGTATATGGCATCCTATATTACAAACTGTCCCAAGGTGGGAACACCCTAAGCACCCCACAGATGGCAAGAAGCCTGCCAGTATCCCAAGAAATTAGTAAAGTATCAATCTGAATGTGCCACACTTTATAGGCCCCCTAGTCTCCCACCTTCTTGGACCAAGTCCTCTGCAGTGTTAACTCCATGCTCTATGAGCTTCTGGCAGTCATCTAGCGGTTTAATGGTCTCCTGTTCAATGGTGTCCACCTCTTGCAAAAGGGTCACCAATCGCTCATCCAGGAGCTTCCCAAGAGTTCCCTTTAAATCATTAAAATGCTGTTTGAGGACATCTCTTGTCTGTGATGCACTCTCTTGGATCTGAAAAGAAATAACATAAAAATTCGGAATCTCTTGAAAAGGCTAGTCCACAGGCATCACCCATAACCTCAAGGCACTACACAACCACCATCTTCCATTTACTGATAAACCAAATGTGATTCAGTCACACAAACTTGCACAATTGCACAGACTTGGGCTTCAGGGGAGACAACCAGCTCAAACCCTGGTTCCATCACTTACAAACTACGTCAATTTGGTCAAGTTAATTAAGCATTTCCTTGTTTGTCAAATGAATATAATAATGCTTACCTCATGAAGGTGCTGTGAGGATTAAATAAAAATACTCTATGTAGTGCACCTGGTAAAATAACTGGCACACTGTTGTTCTCAATAAATAAATGTTAGCAAGTATTACTATCTGCACAAGGTAGTTCTTGGTAATGGTACGTTTCAGTACAAAACCATTTTAAATTAGGAGGGTATTTTTTTTTTTTTTAAGATTTTATTTATTTATTTTTTCCCCCCAAAGCCCCAGTAGATAGTTGTGTGTCATAGCTGCACATCCTTCTAGTTGCTGTATGTGGGACGCGGCCTC